GGGCCGCAGAAAGGCGGCGGAGCCGCGAAGGGATGGCGGGGCCGCGTCGAAGTGGCGGGGCCGCGACTGGGCGGCGGGGCCGCGACGAAGTGGCGGGGCCGCGACTGGGCGGTGGGGCCGCGATCAGAACGGGCGGCGGGGCCGCGACTGGGCGACGGGGCCGCGACTGGGTGGCGGGGCCGCGACTGGGTGGCGGGGCCGCGTGAAGGGGTGGCGGGGCCGCGTCTGAAGGGCGGCGGGGCCACAAGGGGACAGGGCGACTCGGAGGGTCGCTAAAAAAGAATCGCGCGCCTCGGGGCGCGCTTCGGTGGGCCCTAGGCGAAGTTCCCACAGGGAACCTGCTCTATACCATGTGAAACTGAAGAACAGGAATGGAATGACTAAGGAAAGATTGGGTACAAATACAACCCTAGAAAACCTGTACCCCATATGTGCTACCCCACTATAGCCTACAGCAACTATGTCATATAAATCTGACAATTTGTTCATACACTATAGTCTGTGTAGGCTGTAGTGGGGTAGCTTATATGGGGTACAACACTTTAGGGTCTGGTACTTGTACTTCTCATGCTGCTCAGTTCAATCATTCCTCGTTTCATTCTTCACATGGTTTCAGAGCAGGTTCCCTAGTGGGAACGCTCTCTAGGGCCCACCTCGATAATTTTTTTTTTCCAGCCCGGAGCGCGCTTCGCCCCTGCCCGAGTCGCGCCCCGAGTGCCCTCCCTACCGTCGCGCCGCCCTTAGCGGCCCCTTGAGCCGCCCTTACGGCCCCGCGCGCCACCCTTACGGCCCCTCGTGCCGCCCGTCGACCCCGCGCGCCGCCCTTGCGGCCCCGAGCGCCACTCGTCGGCCCCGCGCGCCGCCCTTGTGGCCCCGCGCGCCTCTCGTCGGCCCCGCACGCCGCCCTTGCGGCCCCTCACGCCTCTCGTCGGCCCCGCGCGCCGCCCTTGCGGCCCCTCGCGCCGCTCCTCGGCCCCGCCGCCACCCTTGCGGCCCCTCGCGCCGCCCTTAGCGGCCCCTTACGACCCCTCGTGCGGCCCCTTACGACCCCCCCCTTTTTGCGGCCCGCCGTCGCCCACTATAGCAGCGGCCGCCGCCTTCCCTGGAGCAGCGGCCGCCGCCGTCGTCCCTTCAGCAGCGGCCGCCACAGTCTCTGCAGCAACAGCCGCCGCTGCGTCCCTGCAGCAGCAGCTGCCACTGTCCCTGCAGCCGCCGAGCCGCCCGAGCTACCGAGCCGCCGCTCCCGCCAAGCCGCCCGAGCCGCCTGAGCCGCCAAGCCGCCCGAGCCGCCCGAGCCGCCGAGCTGCTCGGCCGCCCGAGCCGCCGAATCGCCGAGCCGCCGAGCTGCTGTTGCTGCCGAGCCGCCGGGCCACCGAGCCGTCCGAGCCGCCCTGTCCGCTACACCCGGTCACTGCCGTCGTGGCCCTGTTCCTGCCGGCGGGCCTCGGTCCTTCTCGCCTGCCCGGTAAGAGCAGCACCTCTACCACTACACTGCCCTTAGCCTACTGCTCGCGCTGCTAGTCTACTGCTGTCATGGCTACCCCCAGTGTCCTCGCTTTTGACGCTGAGGGTCGGGCCATTGACTTTGACGTCTGGGTAGATGACCTGCAGCTTTTCCTACAGTGCGATAGGGCAGACGGTCTCTCCCACTTTGACCTCACTTCTAGTGCCTCTCCTGCCCCTGCTGCTGATGCTTGAGAAATTGAACGAGAATGAGAATGACTATGGGAAAGTTGGGTACAAGTACAAACCCTAGAAAGCTGTACCCCATATGTGCTACCCCACTATAGCCTACAGCAGCTATGTCATATAAATCTGACACACCCCCATAGGCAAAGTGGGGGAGAACAAGGGGTCACAAGACCAATGAAGCAAAGCAAAGTAAGCTCAGGGTGGATCACAAAGTCACCACACATTCCAAGCACAAGTTCAAGGCCACAAGGCCAGTTCACATGCAGGATTACAAATATATATAAGGCTAGACAAGCAAGAGCAGGTGTATATATATATGTAACAGTACAAACAAGGTCAAGGGGTGAGCAAGTGAGGCAAGGCAGGCACAAGACCCAGCTGAGTACAGAAGCGCTGATGATCACAAGGCGCAAGTGCCTTGGTGAAGATATCAGCAGTGTTGGCCTCAGAGGCCACGTACGCAAGACGCAACTGACCACGCTGCTGTAGCTCACGAGCAAGGAAGTAGCGAAGAGCAATGTGCTTCGTTCTGTGCTCCAGTCTCTGCTCTCGACACAAGGCCAGCATGGCCTTGTTGTCTACGTACTGCACGGAAGGAGAACGAGCAGCTCTCCGAGGTCAGTCAGCAGGTAGGTGAGCCACCAAAGCTCCTGTGCAGCCATGGCCCCCGCGTAGATCTCAGCCTCACAACTGGAGCCGAGAACAGAAGACGAGCGGGTAGCCCGCCACGAAACATAGCCGGAACCAAGGCTGAAGGTGTAACCCTGTGACGACCGCTGCGTAGCCTGGTCGTCAGCCCAAGAAACGTCTGCGTGCCCAGTGAGGACCACTGGACTCTGCCCTCCAAGCACAAGCCCCATGCCCGACGTACTGCACAAGTAGCGCAACACCCTCTTCGCTGCAGCTAAGTAACATCTGTGTCTCCCAGGAGCAACATAGCGTGCGAGAATGCTAAGAGGGTATGCAAGGTCAGGTCGAGTGCAGGTCATCAGGTACATGAGGCAGCCAACAAGCTCTGGGTACGGGCCACTCGAATCAACGGACTCATCCGAAGGCAGAGCTGAGAGTGAGTGGCGAGTAGGCAGAGGAGTGGCCTGAGGCAAGGAGTACGTGAAGCCAAAGCGCTGAAGGACCTGCTGCACCATGTGTGACTGAGTAAGGGTAATGGTGCGGCGTGCTCTGTCCCGGGTGATCTGCAAGCCAAGGTAGCTGCGCAGTTCACCCAGGTCTGTGCACGTGTGTCTCTTCTGCAGCTCGGACTTCACGTGGGCGAGTCCAGCAGTGTCAGCTGGGGCAAAGACTAAGTCGTCGACGTACACGAGGATGTAGAACGGCGGCAAAGAAGTGTCGGTGCGCAAAAACAGCGACGGGTCGGCAGTAGACAGAGCAAACTCAAGAGCCGCAAGTGTAGTCCTCAGTGTGTCGTGCCACTCACGCGGTGCCTGGCGGAGACCGTAGACTGGCCGCCGGAGGCTCCATTGGGTGCCGGGAGGAAAGGACCCAATGAAGCCAGGTGGGCGACGCAGCCAGATCTCCTCGTGCAGGCTGCCCTGCAAGAAAGAAGTGCTGAAGTCAAGAGAGTGCAGCTCGTAGTCACGGTGAGCAGCTATGTGCAGCAGTACCCGAAGAGTGGTCATCTTTGGGGTGGGAGAGAAGGTCTGAAAGTAGTCAACTCCCTGCCGCTGACTGAAGCCACGAGCCACGTAACGCGCCTTGAAGACAGGCGGAGAACCCGGCGGCCGCTTCACCCTGAAAATCCACATGCCACTGACGATGTTCGCCCCAGGCGGGGGAACCTCGTCAACGTAGGTGCCTGTGGATTTCGAGGAAGCCATCTCTGCGTCCATAGCTGCCTGCCACTGAGAAGAGTAGAGACCCTCTATCGCCTCAGCGTAGGAGCGCGGAGTCGGGATGTCAAGTGCATCCGGGTCTCCCTCAGGGGTAAGCAGTACGGACACGAGATGAGGTGAAGCAGCAGCCAAACACTGGAACTCATCCTGCCTGTCCTCAAGGACGTCCGTGCCAAGGGCACACTCACCCCCGACGGACGGAGGACAGACAAACTCAGACTCAGCAACAAGACTAGCAGCGTAGTCTAGACGACAGCGAGCAGCAAAGTCGACGAGCTCAGCAACTAGGGCAGACCCAGCAGTGGACTCAAAGGAAGGGGTAGTGACAACAGTAGCCAGTAGACGCGTGACAGTAGGACTCGCCGCACGAAGAGAGTCCAACTCCGGGTCAGCAAGAGCAGGAAGAGAGGACTCAGGAGGAGAAGGTAAAGGGGCATGCAGAGGAGCAGTGGATGGACGCAGAGACATCCGGTGCATGCCAGGGACAGGAGGAGGACGCTGACGCGAGCCACGACCACTAGTGCGAGCAGCACGGACAGGCGACGCAGGGCGAGACGCAGGCTCAGGACGCTCAGCAAGACCCCCAGTAGGACCAGTGTAAGGAGAAGGAGCGGGCAGTGGGGAGGTCGCCTGTAACTGTAACTGCGACGGGACAGGCTGTGGACACTCTAACGGAGGAGGACCAGTAGAAGGCGGGAGACCAAGAACCTGCTCAAGGAGCGGAACGAAGTACGGCCGAGGCCGCTCAGCGACTCCAGACACAGTAGGGACAGCACCAGTACCCCCAGTGGTAGCACCAGCGCCAGCAGCACCTCCAGCTCCAGTACCCCCAGCAGCTCCAGTAGCTCCAGGACCTCCAGCAACACCAGTAGCACCCCCAGCAGGACTGCCTCCAGTACCGCCAGCAGCACTCTCAGCGCCAACACCCTCAGCAGCTCCAGCTCCAGTCGGACCACGAGACGACGCAATGGCCCCAGCTCCAGTACTACCCGTAGGCCCAGCAGCTCCAGTACTCCCTGTACGAGCACCTCCGAGACCCGTGGCACCAGCACCCTCAGTAGCCGAAGGACCTCCAGCTCCAGCCGCACGTCTCCAGCGCCGGGCAAACCACTCATGCACCTCCTGTGGAGAGAGTGGCTCCCGTCTAGACGGAGCACCCGGTGAACCGCCAGGCCCAGCACTGCCAGACGCCACACGAGCAGGTCCAGCTCCCTCAGGCTCCTCACCCCCAGGCGCAGCACCTCCAGGCGTAGCACCCCCAGGCTCAGCACCCACAGTCGTAGCACCCCCAAGCTCAGCACCCCCAGACTCAGCACCCCTAGGCTCAGCACCCCCAGACTCAGCACCCCCAGGCTCAGCACCCCCAGTCGTAGCACCCTCAGACTCACCACCCCCAGGCTCAGCACCCCCAGCAGCACAAGAGTCACCAGCGACCTCGACAAGCTCGACTGTGTCTACCTAGGACACACCTGAGGGGGAAGGGGGTCTACCGGGGGGGGGACCTGGCACAAGGAAGAGCGGTGGCGGGGGGAGGGACGGAGTGCAGTAGGGGAAAAGATGGTAGTAGGGGACCGACTCGTCAAACGTGACGTCCTGGGAGGACAGAGCTCGGCGAGAGGTGGGGTGGTAGAACTGCCACCCTGGCGTATCAGGGGGGAAGCCAAGGAAGACGCAGGGAGCAGCACGAGGGGACAGCTTGTCCGCAGACAAGTCGCGGACAAACACCCTAGATCCCCAGACACGGAACACAGACGCATCGCCAACCTTCCCCGTCCACAACAAAGCTGGGGAGGTCTCCGGCATGGAGACCCTTGGCTGAAGGTTGATCTGATGCGCCGCGTACCGAACCGCAAACGGCCACAGAAAATGAGGGGCAGCCGCATGCATCATGGACGTACGGGCGACGTCCATGACCATGCCAATGCGGCGCTCAGCAATCCCATTTTGCTGTGGAGAGTCCGGAAGCGTGAAGGTCTGGCGGATGCCTCGTGCACGACAGTAGGCTCGCAGAAGGCCAGAGGAGATCTCTCCGCCTCTGTCAGAGTGCAGACGCAGAACAGGAAAGTCCGAGCCAAAACTCTTCCTCAGCTGGAGACGAGCTGCGCGGATCCAGTCGATCAACACCTCAGTGACATCACCCTTGCTGCGCAAGGGGAAGACTGTGGTGTAACGCGAGTAGTCAACAACCACAAGCAGGAAGTAGCGCTCGTGACCCTGTCCACGGACGCGGGCGGGGCCCCACACGTCCATGTGAAGCGTCTGCAGCGGGGCCTCTGTCGGAGGAAACTGGGAGGAGTGAGGGGCAGCCCGCTGCCGCCCCTCGACATAGGGGATGCAGGTAGGGGCAGGCCCCGGAGGTAGGGGAGGGAGGGACCAGGGAAGACCAGAGACAAGGACACGGGAGGCGATGCCTCGGAGACGAAGCAGGGAGGGGTGACCAAGGCGGTGGTGCCAGAGGAGAGTCTCGTGAGACAGGAGGCCACACGAGTAGGGGGCAGACTCAGGACCAGACCTGGACGCTGCAGCAAACACCTGACCCGACGCAGCTACCTGACCAGACGCAGTGACCGGAGGAGACTCAGTGCTCAGTGTGTACAGGCTCGACCCCGGCCGACGTGTAAACGTGGCCAAGTGTCGGCCCGTCTGAGTGTCCGTGCAGTGGGTCACCCGCTGGCTCGCAGGAGTGAACTGGTGAACCCCCGCATCCTGTAGGTCAGCACCACTCACCAAGTTCGTAGAGAACGAGGGGAGGTAAAGACGAGATAGGGTGCCAGAGGGGGCCGCCGCACACGGGAGGACAGTGGAGAAGTGAGCAAGGACAGGACCCCCAGAGGGGTCTGCCAGAGAGACTGCAACTGGCCGACCAAGCTGCGTGAGTATGGTGCGGTCTCGAAAGAAGGAGCGAGAAGCCCCTGAGTCAAGGGTGAAGGTGTGGGAGGCTGAAGCCGACGCAGTACCTGAGAGAGCAGACTCACCAGCACGTGAGGTAGCAGACGCACTAGCATCTAGAGCAGCAGCCTCGCTAGCACCTAGAGCAGCAGCCTCACCAGTACCTAGAGCAGCAGTCTCAATGCCCGGGTCGGGCGGAAAACACCGGTAACAGTCACCCTCATCACTAGTAGTTACAGCATACATGGCAGCAAGAATAGCATCAAAGTCAAGGTCAAAGACAGCTACTCCCGCCCTAGACAGCTCGCCTGAGCGGGGGATCTCAGTGGCCTCAGGAAACTGGTGACACCAAGCGTCCGTCAGGCGGCCAAAGCAGCGCTGGGTGGAGTGCGCACCCCCGCACTGCTCACCCGCGCGGTCGCCGGTGCGTAGGACGTAGCTGCACGGACCAGTACCCCCACCCCGCTGGCGTGCAGCGTACCACTCACGGAGCTGCTGAGGGGGGGGGGATGTCACGAGTGCGCTGCTGCTGCTGGCGCTGACCACCACCGAAGCCGACCCTCTGCGCAGCGCCACCCCGACTAGCTCCACCTCCTCCGCTGCTGCCTCCTCCACCGCCGCCACCTCCGCCACCTCAGCTCCCACCGCCACCGCTGCCGCCGCCTCCGCCTCCACTGCCGCCACCGACACCTCCACCCCTGCCACCACTCCCACCACCACCCCCACCCCCTCCACTGCCTCCACCGCCACCTCCGCCACCCCCGCCAGCCCCTCCAGTACCCTTGCCCCCCTTGCCCTTGCCGGTGCGGCGTCTCTCGCTCGGGGGAGACGCAGCGCCGACCGACTCGAAACCAACGAGGTCGCCCATAGCAGTAGAGGCAACAGAGGGCAAAAGGGGGGAGGGGGAACACCCCTCAAAGATGGGGGTGCGAGGGTCACCACGAGAAGCTCCTACAGCTACTATGCTCTTCTATGCTGCTAGGAGGGTCTTCTCGAGGAGGTCAACGGTGAGAGTGGTGGGGCAAACTGAGAGGAAGTGGTCCCTGACTACGCGAAGGGAGTCAGGGAGCCGGGTGACTATGTAGTAGAGGGTGATGTACATGGGGGGGGGGTTCTTGGCGCAGAACTCAGCAGGAAGGGCAGCGCGGTAGCGAGTGTCACTAGTGCGAAGGTGCGTAATGAGGTCAGCGACTGTGGGAAAGGCAGCAAGGTCAGGGAAGAGGTACGGTAGCATGAGGCGGCTCAGTGCAGCAGTGGCAGGGGAGGAGTAGCGCGCAACTACAGCGTCGTACAAGGTCTGAGCACTCTTGTACTGGCTAAAGTGCGCACGCTCAGAGGTAGGCAGGTGGCGACGCACAGCAAGACGTGCAGCAGCGGCGTGAGTGTGGTGCGGTCTCGAAAGAAGGAGCGAGAAGCCCCTGAGTCAAGGGTGAAGGTGAGGGAGGCCGAAGCCGACTCGGTACCTGAGAGCGGAAACTCACCAGCACCTGATGAAGCAGACGCACTAGCACCTAGAGCAGCATCCTCGCTAGCACCTAGAGCAGCAGCGTCACCAGTACCTAGAGCAGCAGTCCCAATGCCCGGGCCGGGCGGAAAACACCGGTAACAGTCACCCTCATCACTAATAGTCACAGCATACATGGCAGCAAGAATAGCATCAAAGTCAAGGTCAAAGATAGCTACTCCCGCCCTAGACAGCTCGCCCCAGCGAGGGATCTCAGTGGCCTCAGGGAACTGGTGACGCCAAGCGTCCGTCAGGCGGCAAAAGTAGCGCTGGGTGGAGTGCGCACCCCCGCACTGCTCACCCGCGCGGTCGCCGGTGCGTAGGACGTAGGTGCACGGACCAGTACCCCCACCCCGCTGGCGTGCAGCGTACCACTCACGAAGCTGCTGACGGGGGGGGATCTCACGAGCGCGCTGCTGCTGCTGCTGATGGCGCGGACCACCACCGGAGCCGACCCTCTGCGCAGTGCCACCCCGACCAGCTCCACCTCCTCCACCGCCACCTCCTCCACCGCCGCCACCTCCGCCACCTCCGCTCCCACCGCCACCGCCGCCGCTGCCTCTGCCTCCACTGCTGCCACCGACGCCCCCACCCCCGCCACCACCCCCACCGCCACCCCCACCCCCTCCGCCGCCTCCACCATCGCCGCCACCGCCCCCGCTAGCTCCTTCAGCGCCCCTGCCCCCCTTGCCCTTGCCAGGGGGGCGTCTCCCGCTAGGGGCAGACGCCGCAACGACCGACTCAAGACCAACGAGGTCGGCCGCAGCAGCAGAGGCAACAGAGGGCAAGAGAGGAGAGGGGGAGCACCCCTCAAAGACAGGGGCACGAGGGTCACCACGAGAGGCTCCTACAGCGACTATGCTCTTCTCTGCTGCTAGGAGGCGCTCCTCGAGGAGGTCATCGGTGAGAGTGGTGGGGCAAACAGAGAGAAAGTGGTCCCTGACCGGGCGAAGGGTGTCAGGGAGCCGGGTGACTATGTAGTAGAGGGTGATGTACATAGGGGGGGGGGTTCTTGGCGCAGAAATCAGCGGGAAGGGCAGCGCGGTAACGAATGTCACTAGTGCGAAGGTGCGTAATGAGGTCAGCGACAGTGGGAAAAGCAGCGAGGTCAGGGAAGAGGTACGGCAGGATGAGGCGGCTAAGTGCAGTAGTGGCAGGGGAAGAGTAGCGCGCAACTACAGCGTCGTACAAGGTCCTAGCACTCTTGTACTGGCTAAAGTGTGCACGCTCAGAGGTAGGCAAGTGGCGACGCACAGCAAGACGTGCAGCAGCATCGCGTGTGGCCCACTCTGAGCGAACAGTGGCGTCAGCATCAGCAGCAGGGGCAGGAGAGGCACCAGAAGTGAGGTCAAAGATGTCAACGGGAGTTGGGTATTGGCCCCGTCCTCGCTTGGGCGGAGCCGACTTCGTGGTCGGGTGTGAGGGGAGCAGCCGACCTGCAGCAGTGGGTGAGCTGGTCGACGAGGAGGTCGACCTGCACGGGGGACCACTGCACGGGCGCCGACTTCAGGGTGGCGCCGACTTCAGGGAGGTCGACTTGGGAGTCGACCTGAAGAGGACGTTGAAGCCGACTTCGGCAATCGGCTAACGGACTGCTAGTCGACCTGTTAGTGGTCGACTGGACCTGGTGGTCGACGAAGGAGGGGCCGACGTCGACCTCGACTCAGGACGCTGAGCAGTTGGGTGTCGAATAGCTGGGCGTCAACTTTGTGACGCCAGCTTCGGGTGGCCGACGTGGGTGGTCGGCCGACGACTGTGCTGGTCGACGTGGAGCTGGTCGACCAGAGGGGATGTCGACCTGGAGGAGGTCGACCGATGGTGTCGTCGACCTAGTGAGGTCGACGTGGAGGTGGTCGTCGACTTGGGAGGTCGACGGGCACGTACGGGAGCTGCTGGTCGACGTGGTAGCCTGGTCGACCAGGTTACCTGGGTGACGAAGTGCTGCGAAGGAGTGCGACGGTCGCCCAGGCGAAGTTGGCGAGCACGACCTCAGTGGTGGTATCCCGAGGTCGTCGTGGCGGGCCAGAGGCAGTCGTCAGCTCAAGGTTGACGTGGAGTGTGCGCTGTGCAGGTGACGGGACTCTGCACGCCAATCGGCTACGCACACCTGCGAAGCGGGTGCACTGCTGTCCTGCGTGAGCAACGCTGGCACGCCGTCGACCTTGCCTTGCTGGAGTTCGGTCGACCAAGCCGTGCTGGAACGCGGTCGACCAAGCTGCGCTGGCAGTTGGCCGACCTGAATGCTAGCCCTGATGTAGTCTTGCATTGCCAACTTCATTGTACCATTGTTCTGAACTTTTCCTAGTGAAACTCTTGCCAATTTTCCCCGTGAACTAGCAAGTAGTGTGTGCACAAGGAAAACGACTAAGGAACAGAGAACGCAGAGATCACACGAGCACACGTGCCTAGCCCGTAGCCTAGCTCCCGTTGCTGCAGTTATCTCCGCATGGTGCGGTGAGCGTGGAAGGCACACGACTTACCTTTTCAGTCAGGTTGACGTAGATACCACTTACCTATTGCGTAGCTACAGGCCGGCAACTGTGCAGTAGTCACTATGGTAGGAGCCGTAGGTGACTCGGGGGTGGTGGACACCCTGGAGGCACGGTTGGAGAACGCGAGGAGGAAGCATGAGGCCAACGAGTATGGCGACTTGCCCTGGGCGGTCGTCGAGGCTGGACTCCGCTCCACGTGGGCGACGGAGCACCCGTCTCGACCTGCCTCTCCTCGTCCGGTGAACAACGAAGGCGGCGTCGACATGGGCGTCAACGCCGGTGGTGGTCAAGTCGGCAGCAGTGCTGGAGGCACGTCGCGGCAAAGAGGTGTGATACATGCCGGTGAAGCCGGCGGCGTTCAGACTCGAGGGATGCAGTCTTCGGCGGCTGCAGGCTCCTCGCATGGCGACGCTGGTGGGCGTCGAGGTGGGCTGTCGCCGATGTCGGCGACCCAGGTGACGGCGGGCGGGATTGCGCCGAGCTACGGCTACTTCAAGTTTACGCCGGACAGGATCTCGGTCACCCCTCCGCTGGTCGGTCGACCCGACATTCTCACCTGGAAGGAAGCCATCGAGCCCCAGCTGGAGATGGCCGGACTGATCGGCTTCGCCCGAGGGACCGTGGCGACACCGGGGGAACACCACCCCGACTTGCGAGCGGAGTTTCGCGCCGTGCAGCTGTTGACCTTCACAGTCATCTCGCGGTGCTGCTCGCCGGGCGTGCAGATCGCCTTGAAGTGGTGCCGGGAGTACGTCGACGCCGGCCACCGGGCGTGGCACTTCATTGAGTCGACGTACCAGGTCACCGACGACCTGTTCATCGCCCAGCTGGAGGGACAGCTGACGCACCTGCGTATGGGTGACGATGAGACTGCGACCGACTACTGCAACCGGGCACGGCGAATTCTCGCCACCATTAGGATGGCCGGCGCGCAGTACTCCACGGCGTCGTACATCACCCATGTCATGCAGGGTCTCTCTAGCAGCTACAACCTGCTGAAGCGGCTGTCCATGGCGCCGAGCACGAGGGCAACGCTCAACGAGGACAACCTGACCTCGTATATCCTGCAGGACGAGGCGATGCAGGAGGCTGAGCGGTCGCAGGAGCTCTTGGCGCAGGCGAACTTGGTCACCTCAGCGAACCAAGGAGGCCGACTGGGACAGCGCGGGCAGTTCGGCGGCGGTGGTGGTAGCAGTGGCTGGAAGCCGGCCAAGGAGGTCGACAAGAAGAAGTCGACCAAGGACAGTGGTCGGGGAGGAGGAGGTCGACGTCGGGAGTGCTGGCTGTGCGGCGACCCCGACCATCTCTCCTTCGAGTGTCCCAACCGCAGCGACTCCGACGACGACGATGCTAAGGGAGGCCGTGGGAGGTCTGGCAGCCGTCGTCCTCGTCGTGGAGGAAACCAGCCGCGCAAGGAGAAGCAGTCGACCAAGACATCGACTTCGGCGAAGGACGCCGACTCCGTTGCAGGCGGAAAGGGGCGAGACGACAAGACGGCGTCGTGCTCGCTGGTCGGCGTCGTGGAGCCGACCATCTCTCTGGCGCCGGAAGCTGGAGAGGATTTCCAGGCGGTAGCGGCAGCTGTGCAGGCGAACCCGGCGGTGGTCCTGCTCGACAGCGGTTGCTCTCACCACCTGATGGGGACGAAGGAGGTCTTCGTCGACCTGCAGCCGAGCGGCGCCATCAGGCATGTGCGCGGCTTCAATGGGGCGCTGCAGGATGTCCAGGGCCGCGGCACTGTCGCTCTGCAAGGAGAGGCCGGGAAGCAGGTGCTCATCCCCGACGTGTTGTACGTCCCGGGTGTGCGAGCCAACCTGCTGTCGGCCGGCCAGCTGAAGGAGCATGGCGTGAAGCTGCAGGAGGACGGAGACGGCATGTTGCTCGTCTCAGCAGCAGGGGAGGTGCTCGGTCGAGCGACGTACTCTGGGCGAGTCCTCTGCACCGATCTGCGTCCCTGCGCGACGAGGTCGACACCACCCACGACGGAGGTGGTGGCCCTGCGGGCGATCGTCTCGAAGACGAAGTCGACGCCGGACCGGATGCATGCGAGGCTTGCGCATGTCGGCATGGACACCATACGGAGCTCGGCGAAGAACGAGGTCGCCATTGGGCTGGACCTCAAGTCGGCGATGGACGCCGACTCCCCGTGTGTCTCGTGCGTCGGCGGGAAACTGGCGCAGCACACCTTCCCCAACCAAGGCTCCGACGTCGACGACGTGCTGGCTGTCATGCACATCG